AGTTACACATGCTGTTGTGTGTTGGGTGCGTGCCAGTAGGAATGTCACTGGACAAATGTGAGTTTATATGCGTGCGTGCGTGTGTGTGTGTGTTTGTGTGTGTGTGTGTGTGTCTATGTGCGTGTGTGTGTGTGTGTGTGGAAGTGTTTTTTCTGTGTATCTGGAAGTGTGTGTATGTGTGTGTGTGCGTTTATGTGTGTCTGTGTTTGTCTCTGTGTGTCTAGAAGTGTGTAATATGTGTGTGTCTGTGTTTGAGTGTTTGAGCATATCTGTAAGTGTTTGTGTTATGTGTTGTGTATGTGCGTGAGGGTATGTTTGTATTTCTGTGAACATACATGACTCTCTCTGTCTCTTTGTGTTGCCGTTTGATCCTCGCTGAATGCTGCCGCGTGTGGTACAGTATAACGCTATACAAAGCTGACCTAATGCGAGTGTGTCCATGTTTATTATATATATTTATTCATTTTCATGTTTATGTGTATCACTACATATATCACTATATATATATATATATATATATATATATATATATATATATATATATATATATAGAGAGAGAGAGAGAGAGAGAGAGAGAGAGAGAGAGAGAGAGAGAGAGAGAGATAGATAGATACAGTGGATATATAGAGAGGTATCTGGCAGATATAGATAGACAGAGAGATGGATAGACTGGCTGACAAATAGAAAAAATAGACAGATCGATTGAAAAAAATATATATATATATATATAGAAGAAACAATGTTATTTTTTCCTCTTTTAAGAACCATTAACATTTTTTTTCGACTTTATCACTACTTTATCACGACTTATGCATCATATGTTATCATTATGGCTGCCCTTATTTTGCTAAGAAAGATTTTGTGAAATAAAAAAAACATACTCTGTTTTCAACAAAATTGTGATATTTATCATAATTTTCTTCTTTTATTGTCATTTCTTTGTATCACGGAATTTTACCTTAAATTTTCGCTAATCTTATGTTTGTGTTTCTTATTTTCTTTGCCTTATTTCTTTTTATTCTCTTCCTTTACTATTTCCGTTTTCTTCTTCATTCTGGGCCTTTCGTTTTTTTCTAATCATGCATTATTAATTCTGGTTGTCACATTCATTTTCAGTTATTAATTCCTCTAGCCATAGTCGTTATTCATTATATATCATTCCCCATATTTGTCACTCATTATCTGCTATTATCAATTTTTCATTATCTGTTACCGTTATTCGTTTGTTCTCTTCCTCCCTCATTTTCTCTCCATTTCACTTAATTTTCTTATCCTCCTTCTCCGTTTCTCTATTATCATTTTCTCATTATCTGTTACCATTATTCGTTTGTTCTCTTCCTTCCTCATTTTCTCTCCATTTCACTTAATTTTCTTATCCTCCTTCTCCGTTTCTCTTTTACTGTTGTCTCTTCTCGTCTTCGTCTTCGTGTCATTCATCCTGTGCTTTCTCCTCACTTTCCTACCAATCATTCTTTATTTCTTTCACTTTTATCCTTCTTCCAATTATCCCTATCCATCCCTTTCCTTATCCTACTCCTAACTTTACTTGTTTTTCCTTCGTCTTATGCTATTTTTAGTTATGCTTCTCTCTATCTCTCTCTCTATCTCTCTCTCTCCATTTCTCTTTCTCTCTCATTCCCTCTCTCTCTCTATCTCTCTCTCTCCATTTCTCTCCCTCTCTCATTCTCTCTCTCTCTCTCTCTCTCTCTCTCTCTCTCTCTCTCTCTCTCTCTCTCTCTCTCTCTCTCTCTCTCTCTCTCTCTCTCTCTCTCTCTCTCTCTCTCTCTCTCTCTCTCTCTCTTTCTTTCTCTCTCTCTCTCCATCTATCTATGTACTTGCCTATCTATATCTATTTATTTCTCCATCTGTCTCTATATGTCTCTATCTCCTTGTCTCTCTCTCCTCTTGATCTCCTTGTGTCTCTCTTTCCTCTTTATCTGCTTGTCCCTCTCTCTCTCTCTCTCTCTCTCTCTCTCTCTCTCTCTCTCTCTCTCTCTCTCTCTCTCTCTCTCTCTCTCTCTCTCTCTCTCTCTCTCTCCTCTTTATCTCCTTGTCTCTCCCTCCTCTTTAGCTCCTTGTCTATGTCTCTCCTCTTTATCTCAGTGTCTCTCTCTCTCTCTCCTCTTTATCTCATTGTCTCTCTCTCCTCTTTATCTCCTTGTCTCTTTCTCTCCTCTTTATTGCCTTATCTCTTTCTCTCCCCTCTTTATTTCCCTGTCTCTCTCTCTCCCATTCTGCCTGCCTGTGCCTGGCGCAGAAGACCGTCCAACTGGAACGCCATAACAGCTGGCAGAGTCGTGAACGACCACACGGGACGAGAAATACGGCGATGGTACGACTTCACTGAAGGATTACCCAGCCCCCCCCCCCCCCCCCTCACTTGCCCCTCTTTGTCCCCTCGTTCTTCTATTCTCGTCTTTCTTCTCTCTCCTTTCGTTCTGATAGTCGCACTCCTTTGGCTGGTCTCATCCTTTCTCCCTCTCGTTTGTTTTTCTTTGTTCCATAGGTCTTTCTCTTCTTTTGTCCTTTTTTCTCCTTTCTAATTTTCCTTTTTATTTGCTTCTTCTAGTCCCTTCTCCCTTTCACTTGTCCCTTCTTTGTCTCTTTTTCCTTCTCCTCTTCTTTCGTTTTTTACCTTATCGTTGTGGTCTTCGCACTCTTACATTTCTTTCTCTAGTTCTCTTATTCCTGGCTTCGTCTTTTTCTTCTTTCTCTCCCTTCTTTCCCCTCGTCCTTTTATCGTCTTCCTCCTCTTCCTTCTCTCTCCTCTCTCATTCCTATTTTGTCGGCCGTCTTCTCTCATCTCCTTCTCTTATTCTTCCCTTCCTCTTCCTTTCTCTCTTTCCTATCTTTATTCCTTTATCTCTCCACCTTTATCGTTTTTTCTCCCCTGGTCCTTTTCCTCCCGTTCCCATCTATCCCCTTTTTTTTCCTTTCTCTCTCTCCTTTTCCTTCTCCTCGCCCTCCTCTCACTCCCTCTTCTCCTTTCTCCACTCTCTTTCTCCTCCTCTCTCCTTCGTCCTTGTCCCTCTCGTCCTCCTCTTCGTCCTCCTCCATTCCCCCTCCTCTCCCCCGGCCATCTTCCCCCCACCCCCCTCCACTTTCTGGACGTTTGCAATAAGCTTTTTTTTTTCCTCTCTTCCAACCCTGTCTCTTTTATTATTCCCTTTCGTTCTTCTTCTCGAAAACGTCATTTCCACAAAGACGTGTGCGATCGCGGATGAGTCAAGGCGATCGCGGGGTTATCAGCTTTTTTTTTCCATTATTATATTTATTATTATTAATATGATTATTCATATAAGCATTCCTTTTTGCTCTCTCTGTCTTTCTCGACAAAACAAACAAGAAAACAAAGCAGAACTCTTTTGTTTATCCGTTTTATTTTTAGTTTGGGTTATATATACTTTTTAACTTACTTTTTTTTCACTTTATTTCCCTTTGCGAGTGCCAGCATTGCGACACTATATTTTGAAGCGCGTGGCAACAAAAAGGAACGTGTGGAAAAGAAAATTCTTTATCTTTTATTTTTTACCTCTAAATGCGCAACGGCTCGTTGTCGGCACCAAGAGAGTACAGTGAATACATACATATGTGTGTGTGTAAAGAGAGAGAGAGAGAGAGAGAGAGAGAGAGAGAGAGAGAGAGAGAGGGAGGGAGGGAGGGAGGGAGGGAGGGAGGGGGAGAGAGAGAGAGAGAGAGAGAGAGAGAGAGAGAGAGAGAGAGAGAGAGAGAGAGAGGGAGGGAGGGAGGGAGGGAGAGAGAGAGAGAGAGATCCCATTCTGTATTATCATCAAACACGATTCCTCCTCCGCAAAACAAACTTCACTTCACCAGAAAAAAAATAAAACAAATAGAATGTCATAGAAAATCATTATATTTCATATTTATTGGATATAACGCAACATTTTTCCTCAAGAAAAAGAATAGAAAAAGGCTATCATTGAGTTTATCCCCGCGCTCTCTTCCCGCCATCGCCGCCGGCCTGGTAACACTGCCATTTCACCGATCGTTTAATCGAGCGAAAAATATGCCCACAGTTTGCCAGAAAAAAAAAATGATGATAAGAATACAAAAAAAAAAAATATCGGGAAAAAAAGAGAAAAAAAAAATGCATCAGCGAAATATTGTTAATTTTCCGGACTTTGGAGCCCAGCGAGGCGCGAGGAGATGGAACAGAGTTGGAGACTATAAACAGATAGTGGCAAACCCCTGACGTGTGTGTATATATAATGTATTAGAATGGCTGTGTTATGGAAACGCCGGTTTATAAAGAGATACATTCTAGGTACAGCACGCTTTCACATTTCGGATATTGTGTTTCAGTTCCTGCAATGTGCGTTTGCTGTTATCATTGCTGTTCGTGTTATTATTTTCTTTTTCTATTTTTTTATTAACATTGTTATTACTATTATTATTATCATTGTTGGTGTTACGTTGTTGTTGTTGTGCTTATGATTATCTTTGTCATTGTTGTTATCATTATTATCATTATCATTATAGTTCTTATTAGCAATGTTGTAATTATTTTTGTTATTGTTATTATCATTATTATTGTCATTATCATCATTATCACCATTACTATTTATATTATTTTGATTACCACTATTATTATAATTATTATCATCGTTATTTGTGCTATTATTGATATTGTTATCGTTATCATTATTATTATCATTATTATTATTTCTTTATCATCATTATTATTATCATTACCTCTCCTGCTACAGCTACTACTATTACTACTTGTATATTAATATTACTGCTACTACAATTACTACTATCATTTTCTTATATGAATATTATCACCATTATTACTACTATTATTATTGCTTTTATGATCTTTATCATCCTAATAGTCAATATCAATTCAGTTACTACAGATTTATTCAGTTTCAGCCTTTATATCTTATCCAGAATATAGATCAAGCAACAGAAAGTATTTTCTCTCTGAAAAAAATCTTTTGCATTCACAAATTTTAATATTTTCTTTCTATTTTCAGACACTCAGCTGCCCCCAGCCATCTGACATTTTACAGGTAAATGATAATTCAACTTTTTTTTATAGATTTAAGTTGACACATTATAACATTCAGTGAAAGATATCCGGTGTCTATTTCAGGAATGATTTCGGTTGTCCAGGAGCATATTTTTGTAAAAATAAATATACATATATATAATAATTATTATAGAAGAAGAATCGTTTTGCATACACATAACGAATTTTCGTTACTGCACAAATTCTAAGATATAGTTTGACAGAGAGAGAGAGAGAGAGAGAGAGAGAGAGAGAGAGGGAGAGGGGGTGGGGGCAGACAGAGAGACAGACGGGCAGAAAAAGAGAGATAGAGAGACATAGCCATAATGAAAGAAAGAGAGGGGCGTACCGTTGTTGCAAGAGATACAATAATACAGGTGAAATTGGCCGGGAAAATTGCATTAACCTGAAGCTTGAGTTGCACGTGAAAGGCCTTGCAATGTTGTTATATTGGGGTACAGTCCGCGCGTGTGAGTGCTCGTCTGAGTATGCGTACGCGTTTTTGCAGACATAATACGCTCGCACATATAATACACACACACACACACACATACACACACACACACACACACACACACACACACACACACACACACACACACACACACACACACACATACACATGACACACACAAACTCACACATAACATACACAAACGCACATAATACACATACACACACATAGCACGCGCATACACGCACACATAACATACACACTCGCACATAATACACATACACACACATAGCACGCGCATACACACACACATAACATACACACACGCACATAATACACATACACACACATAGCACACGCATACACACACACATAATATACACACACGCACATAATACACATACACACACATAGCACGCGCATACACACACACATAGCACACGTATACACACACACATAACATACACACACGCACATAATACACATACACACACATAGCACGCGCATACACACACACACATAACACACACACACACACGTAAAAATGCACCATATATAATACCAACCCAAACTCCTACGCTATTTCTTATTTATTAATTTCACTCATTACTCCTCTCTCTTCTTTATTTCTAGAATTTTAAACAAATAAAACCTATATAATTGCATTTTCCCGCTTTTTTTCTTCTTTTTTTATAAACTACCCTTTTTCAAAGACACGACTTTACTGTACAATGCCTGTCAAAAAAGCTCACTTTTTTTCTTTGGTGGTGTCTAGTAAAGTTTATTACCGTGTTTATGCTTGCCTAATAATGCTGATCATAGTGTTTATAGCCGCAGCTCTGGCGCGCGTGTGGTTTATGAAGCGTAATACATTGTATCTCCGGAATAATCGTGGTTAATTATGTTTTGATGATCGAGTTTGTTTTTTTTGTTTGTTTGTTTGCTTGTTTTTTGCTTGCTTGTTTTTTCAGTGATGTTATTCTTTTTCTTTTTTAATTTCTTTTTCTTTGTCTCTTTCATTGTTTGTCTCTCTTTATTAATCTTTTTTGGTTTCGTGAATTCTTTCTCTCTCTATCTATCTACCTATTTATTTATCTGTCTATCTATCTATCTATCTCACATTCTCCTTCACTCCATCTCCTTCCTTATCTTCCTCTCTCCCTCCTTTCCTTCCTCCCTAACTTTCCCCTCTTCTTAAATTTCTTGTTTCTTGTTTTACTTCATTTTTTTTTTTTTTAATTGCTCGCCCAATCTTGAACGCGAACTAGAACGCAAGCTTGAACGCAAATATGTGCATCGCCACACAGTTGTTGGAACAAGAAGACGAGTTGCTTAAGGATAGATCTATATACACAATCACAGCCTGAGATGAAGTCGCACTCACAGGGATGAATGTGGACCACTTGTACAAAGAGACGAGATCCACGTAAGCTAACACTGGTATATCATTGATGGATCTTGTTACAAATGCGGATAAAAACCCAGTTATGTGGGTAGAGGGCTTTGCTTGTAGGCGCTTAGATTTCTCTCTGTTTGGCTCTTTTCCTCGGCTTCTTTCTGGCTGGCTGTCTTTGTTTGTCCTTCTATATTTATTCATTTTTTATTTTGTGTATATATATATATATATATATATATATATATATATATATATATATATATATATATATATATATATATATATATCTTTATATCTATATCTATATCTATCTATCTATCTATCTATCTATCTATCTATCTATCTATCTATCTATATCTATATCTATATCTATATATATATATATATATATATATATATATATATATATATATATATATATATATATATATATAGACACATACATGTATACATCATATTTCTTCTCCGTCTTGTCCTCTTCAGCCCATCCTCATTTTTTCCTCTTCCTTTCCAGTGAAAGAGAGCCACATTTGTCACTCCCTCCACATACCTGAATTAAGCACTATCTTGACATGCCTCAAGTACCTCCTCGTGAGTGCTTCCTCCTCCCTCCTCCTCCCTCTCCTCTCCGCCTCCATCCTTTCTCCCTCCTCCTCCTCCTCCCTCCTTTCTTTCTCCTCTTCCCTGCTCCCTCCTCTTTCTTCCCTCCTCCTCCTTTCTCCCCTTTTCCTTCTTATGTCCTCTCTTCTCTGGCCCTCGTCCTTTCTCCCTCCTCCTCACTTCTCTCTTGCTCCTTCCTCTTTCTCCCTCTTCCTCCCTTCTCCTTCTCCCTTCCCCTCCACCCTCCCCCCTTCCTCGATGCTCTCCGCCTCTCTTTCTCTTTATCTTTCCATTTCTCTCTCACTCTTGCTTTATCTCCCTCTCTATTCCTTGCCGTTTTCCCTGCTCCTTCCTTTGACCTTCCTTTTCTTGGGTTTATTGTGCGAGATGAAATGTCTGTCGAGACTCTGTCGATCATAAGTGTCATACTCATATATATATATATATATATATATATATATATATATATATATATATATATATATATATATATATATATATATATATATATATATATATATATATATATATATTTTGTGTGTATGTTTTGTGTGTTTGTGTGTATGTGTGTGTGTGTGTGTGTGTGTGTGTATGTTATATGTGTATGTATATATATATATATATATATATATATATATATATATATATATATATATATATATATATGTGTGTGTGTGTGTGTGTGTGTGTGTGTGGTGTGTGTGTGTGTGTGTGTATGTATATATATATATATATATATATATATATATATATATATATATATATATATATATAAATAGAGAGAGAGAGAGGCAAAGAGAAAGATGTACGTGTACGTGTCTGTTTCAGTTTAATTAAAACGGTAATATTTCTCACTACACTAAACTCTAACCCGAAGGCAAGGTCGGTTGTACAGCTTTACTGCGGCGAGGCTGTATCCCCGTGAAACATATCCGACAAATCTGGCCATTCTTAAGAACCGCTGTGTGTATGTTATCGGAAGAGCCATCATATTTGGCGCGGACCGTCTGATATCACAAATTACGAGAAACTTTTACACTTTACTGGAGCGACCGTTTAAAAAAAGAGAGAGAGAGAGAGAGGGAAAAAAAAGGGAAGGGGGGGTTATTTCAACCAGTGCTGCCACTTTTGCGATGAGATTCCAGATTTTCAGTCATGGCCGCCAACCTAACTTATCCGGGAAAGGAAACGAAAAAAAAAAAATGGATAGCAAGAGTAAACACAAGGTTGACATATTTATTCGCTTATGTCACCTTTACTCATCTGGAAAGGCCATGGAAATATTTTCTATTATATATCACACTGACATCCAAAAAAAAACAAAAAAAAAAACAGACTGTACGTACCCTAGGAGGGAAAAAAAATGTCTGAAGATTGCCAGGTTTCGCTAGAAAGGGGAATCCCATCGCCTTTTAATAGTCAAGACTTTGTCCTTTTTTTTTCCTTTATCATTTGAGTTGCACTTGATTTTTACCTCCGCAATCAATATAACACTATTCTATTAGTCAAACCAACCAAGTATTAAATGCGGGAAGAATTTATACATGGGAATAAAAGATTAACACGTGACAAAGTCATTTAAGAACACGGAACTGATTGCTACCATATTCTTACATCATCCAGATTGCATAACAGACTCTTTAATGTGAAAATGAATACTAGTGTCTTAAACTGTTAAGATTATTATATCGACTTCGGTTTCTTGCTTGTGTGTGAAAGAGAGTGTGAGAGAGGGAGAGAGAAAGAAGCAGGGAGAGGGAAAGTGAGTGAGGGAGAGAGGGGGGAGTGTGAGAGAGAGAGAGGGGGGGGGGAGAGAAGTAATGAGAGGGAAAGTAAGAGAGAAAGAGGGGGGGGGGGAGAAGTAGGGAGAGGGAAAGAGACAGAGAGAGAGGGAGGGAAGAGAAGTAGGAAGAGGGAAAGTAAGAGAGAGAGAAAAAAGAGGGGGGGAGAGAAGCATGGAGAAGGAGAATAAGAGAGAAAGAGGAGGGGAGAAAAGTAGGAAGAAGGAAAGTGAGAGAGGGGGGAGAGGGAGAAAAGGGAGAAGCAGGGAAAGTGAGAGAGAGGGGAGAGAGAAGAGAGAAAGGCAGGGAGAGGGAAAGTGAGAGAGGGAGAGAGAGAAGTAGGGAAGGGGAAAGTGAGAGAGAGAGAGAGAGAAAGAGAAAGAGAAGTTAAGAAAAAGAGAAAGAGACAAACACACAGAGATTTTTTTTTTAAATCCAGATCCCGAAAAAAACACACTCAAACTATAAACGAATCAACATAAACCAAAAAAAAAAACATAAGAGAAAAAAAAGATACAATATTCTCTCTCATCTTTACTAAGGACATTTTCTCTTTCTTTTTTGCAAGACAGTCTTACATAAAATCAAGAAGACAGCGCCGGTTCCTTGCCAAATTACTGAACATCGATTGCCCATGATATGTCAGGGGGAGGGATAAAACTCGCCGCTTTTGTGTCTTCTTTGCCGACTTTTTTTTTAATCTCTGATTTCTTTTGGATTTTTTCTTTATCTCACTCTGTCTGTCTATCTGTCTATCTGTCTACCTATTA